TATATATATAGTGTATGTAATATACATTAACGTCGATTTGAGACGAGGTCTGGGTTGATAGTGATCCAGTTGGCGCTATTGACTTAAACTGTAGACTCGATGCAGTTCTTCGAGTTCGACATTCGTTTTGATAATTCTAATTCACGTTTTCAATTGGCCTGACGTATGGCAGGGCCACACTGTGTATGCCGTTGGGGGTGAAGTATATTCCANCCAGGGAGTGCAGTCGGTCTACGTCATAGAACATGACGAAACTGCTGCAGGTGATAGTATTGCACGAGAAGTTCCAATTGGGTATGGAACAGTGCATACATGAATCGTCGTTTGATATTTTGTCTTGTGTTATTCAGAGCCCTCAGTGATCAAACGTTCCCAGTTTTATGACATCCTCATCTGGAATGGGGCCATATTTCACTACCATAGGCCTTCGAGGGACGAATAGCAGTCTTAAATGCGCTTCTCGCACGTTCAATATGGACGAAAATGTCTTTTTTGGTCTGACTGGCGGGTAGAATGAGTGACCATAGATACCTAATGTCGATAATGTGTTCAATCGCGTTGTTCTTGACTGTTAACTGTCGAGTTGGGATAGGCTAAATGGGGATCACACGCATTCGAGTTATCCACATATTCTTGTTCTGGGATCCAAACCTACGGGTTCAACTGAATATTAGCATTGCATTCCAATGACTTCCTCATTTTTCAGCCTTTCACGTATTTGAACAGTATGGGAGAGAACTCTTATTTAGCGAATTCAGTGTTTTTAGGGATAATCTACCGTCGTAGTGAGTTAAAGTGGCACCCAGTGTGTCTATATGGATCTCAGTTGAATGACTAGCCATATGTGAAAATTCAGTATGATAGTCTTGGCATTAGGCCTCAGCTGGATAAAACTACAAGTGGCATCATAGCGCCAACGGAATCTTCTAATCCTTTTAAAATAGGATTAGGAGAAAATTTTCTTTGTCACTTAGCAATTTCGTATGGAGTTCTATGGATGAGGCCAACTATATTTCGTTACTGGAGGGGAGCACTTTAATTTTCTCTTGAGTTATTGGCTCTAGAGACAACAGCACTGCTCGTTCTAGTTTGCTGTCCTGTGCATTTCAAGTCACGAAACCCTAATTAGGGTAACTGGGTGATGGTGGCGCAGTGGTTTAGTCTCTCTCACTGGCATGCTTTGGACCCTATGGTCCGAGGTTCGAGCCCTGCCACCGCCACCCAACTTTGGTGGTTGGCTGCTTTGCCGTCGTCCGGTTCAATATCACGCCTAACCGATCGGGGCCTTATGTGGTTCGCCATTCCAAGTCCCGGGGCTTAGGTTGCCGGTTTCCAAGACGGAGCAGCAGGTCTTTGTGACCATGGGTTTCGCCCCGTCTACTGTTCACCACACAAATGTGTGTAATAAAAAAGCAGCTAGATTCAGTTTCGTTAATACCTATTCAATGTATTTTCATTTATAATAAAAGTAAAGCTTAGTAATCATTTCTCCTGTTCTTATTTTGTTCCTTTAATACAGCTTCGTACATTTACCTATTCGGGTTTATTCCCTCGTGCACTGTGTGCCGGTTTAAAAGCATATACTCACAAGTCTTTCATTCCACTGGTAGTTCCAATCAGTCCTGCATGTTTAGTCTCCAGCACTCGATCGTATTCCCAAGCAACAGCGGATTCAGTCACAGATGAAGCTTCAGTGACCGAATCTAAGCGAACGTGGCCACGACAAGGCCCAGATTGGTTGGAGGCCATCACGCCACCTCAGTCTACGTCAGTTGCAGCTACCTCAACTGCACCGTTGTTCAAGGATCTTTTCCGAGGTCAGCTTCATTTGGTACGTGGATGGGTTTATTTTCAGCGTGCTTTGTTGATTTTCTTTGTGATCAAAAAGTTATATTATGATAATCCTCTGGTTTCGTGGTATTCTGTCAACATGTTTTTTTCAAATTCTGTGACAGGAAATCACTGTTTCATAATTTTTGTAATGATTTCAAGGTATTTGGCAGGGTGCATCCTAGATGAGGAATTTTCATTTATCACTGTGGGGTCCGCAGGCAAACTGGGGGATGAAAAATTATTTAAGCATTCAACACAAGTGATGGTACTCAGACTTGGTTTCCACTGGAAATAGAAAAGTTCGTTTTCAGAAATCATGATATATTACACACTCGTCTAAGTCCAGACTGCGTCAAACAAATCACAGAATAGAAATGTTTATAACAAACCAATTGGTCCGTGCTTCGCGAAGATCGAGAAGCTTCCGCAATCGTATGTGAATCACCCCGATGGTTGCTAGCGTCTGAAGTGACTGTCTTGTCGCTGCGCGGTGAGATCCGGTGAACAACAGAGAAAGTTGATTTGGGATCGATCCAGTGAGTTGTCTTCAGTTGACACGGATGAAACGTCAGCTCGCACACAGAAGGCTCGGTTGGCATTTGCCTATTTGAGACATCTGTGGTGCCGTCGCGACATCTGGCTGTCTGTGAAGGGTCGAGTGTATGCTGAAGCAATTCGGTCAGTTCTACTACATGGAGCAGAAACTTGGCTATTAAGAAAACAGGACAAAGGTAAACTGTCGGTGTTTGAACACCGCTGTCTACGCAGCATTGCAAGAATCTGGTGGGGTAACCGGACGAGCAATGCTGAGGTTAGGCGCAAAGTTTTAGGCACCCACGGTCTTCCACTGGAGCAAGTGGTCGACCTCTATAGATTGCGTTGGTTGGGACATGTGTTACGCATGTCACCAAATGGGTTGCCACGGCGAGCGATGTTTGCCGAGGCAGGTAGTGGGTGGAATAAAACCAAGGGTGCTCAAGCTAAGACCTGGCATGAGGGTATGAAAACCCTAACCAGGAGTCTGGGTCACATAGGTCCCGTCAGGCTTCCTGGCTGGGGACCTCGGGATGGTCGTAACCGATGGCTAGAGACACTGAGT